AAACAAGATAATTATAATAACAATTTACATTTAAAACAAATGTTAAAATATCACATATAAAAACATCCAATTAAAAGTACACACGTTCAAGTCATAATCAAGCCATAAAATTTCAGTTTCTCAAGTCGCTTCTGACATGATTTTAAAAAACCAGGAAAGACATTTTTTTTAAAAAATTGAGGGAATAAAACTATTACGTAGAGAAAGTAAAGCATTTTAGACTTATATCTAGTCAATGTTTAGTGGTTGTAGTGTAGTGTGTTTTTTATACCAGGAAAATGAATCTCTACTCTTTTTTGTCTTTATATTTTGTTTTATGGTTTGTATTTTTGCTTTTTATGTCTGTTCATAGATTGTGTGTTAGTTTTATTCTGAATTTTTTTAAAAGCCACATTTGTTCAGAGAGGGTGTGCCTGATGCTTTCTGAGGCTGAGAGAGTGCAAACTACCTAAAGCCACCCAATGGATTCCAACTGTTGAGCAGAATTTGAAACTTTGGTCTCCAGAGCCATCGTCCAATGTTGAAACTGTTACATCGTGTTGGCTTTCATTTGACAAGGAATTCATGTCCCAATTTTAAAACTTATTTTAGAAGTAGTCCAAATTAAACCAAGCAGAAGAGTGATCTTTCACAGAACCACCAGGAAGAAAAATTGGGAATGTTTGCTTACAATATGAAGCTCTTCCAGAAGAGGACATGCTTCACCAGCTGAAACTCTAACAAGGCCATCCCTGCTAAGATGTAACAATGACTGCAATGTTTTGCTATCTATACAATATTACTGTTGCAACCCAACGTTGCTGGTTGGGTGAATTGGCAACAGCAGAGATAGTTCATCTTTCTGGGAACTATTAGTGGATAAAGTGTTCCCTCGCTTATCCTGGGGGTTACGTTCCAGGACTACCCGTGATACGTAAAAAACCACAAATGTAATGTTCATTTGCTGGATTAACATAACTCAAAAACCACTGGACAAATTGACACCAAATTTGGACACAATACACATATCAGGCCAATGAGTGATCGTCACTCATAAAAACACTGCAGAAGAAATTTAAAAAGCCAAATACACATATCTGAGCAACTCTGACAACGCATGTGCAAAACCACACATATATAAGCAAACACACATATACACACATACACAAATATATACACACACACATATACACAGACTGGGGCACAGCAATGCATGGCAGGGGATGGCTAATGCCTTGCCTGACTTACCGGGCAAGGGCTGTTGCGGCAGTGGGCACCCTCCCGCTGGCCATGCTGCTTGCAGGGGGGCTTCTTCTTCTCAGAAGCCCCCTGTGTGGCAGGAAGTCTCTCACTGTTTGGCCAGCTGGCCCACTGGCGGCAGGCCCCACCCCTGGATCGACCAGGCCCAGCTTCCCCACCTTGCCTCAGCAGCCTTTGTAGGGCTGCCCAGGGCCTCCGCAGGGCTCCATGGCTGCTGAGGCAAGGTGGAGAAGCCGGCCCTGGCCAATCCAACCAGTGGATTGGCCAGGGCCTGCTTCCCCACCTTGCCCCAGCAGCCACAGAGCCTGCAGATTCGCTGTTTCATGGTTAGGGTTTAGAATATTAATTCTAAACCCTAACCGCAAAACAGCGAGTCCGTGGAAAGTGAGCTGCGAAACAGCAAGGGAACACTGTACTTTGCAATATAGAATAATCAACATGTCATCACTGCATTGTTTATCTGTGGCCACTTTAAGCTATTAAATACTTCTGCCAATCTCAGGATTTCACAGAGCATCTTTCTATTTTTTTTTTCCAGACCTGAAGATGAACTGTATTCTGTAGCATTCCTTTCCAAGTCCTAAACTCTAGAAATCATTCTGGCAGATGTCCAGGTGGCAATATATAATTATCTTTTCCTAAACACGTGCTGAGCAACTCTGACAGGTCTCAAGAAAAATTCCTGGCACAACCAACATAAAATCTGTTCAGGATCGTAATTGACTGCAGCTACTGAATCTCTGAAGCATGGTTCTGAAAGGGCTAGAACTACAAAACTGGCCTTGAGTTGTGAAATTCAGCCCCCTTCTATCTCAATCATCTTAATTATCATTCTAAAAAGGCAGAAAAATTGATGAACCTCCTCCCAACCAAAATTCCCACCTCCCTCACCTCGGATCTTCACATCTTTATTGGTCATCAAGCTTTTGTCTCTCATTCACATTTTCTAGCAGAACCAAACATCAATTGATCGAACCCTTGAACAACTTAATGCACAGAGCATCAAAGTAATCATATACTGTAATTTGGTTATGCACTTTAGAATTGTGTTGATTTGTGTTTTTTTTCTAATTATTCATCTCAAAAAGTAGGCTGCCATTCATGAAAGCACAATTCAAATGAACATTTGTTTCTCTGATGTTTTGACCACAAGAGACTTAAATAGTTATACACCAAGAGCCTTTTTTTGCAAAATTTATCTGTCCTCTCAAATGGGTGGTCATATCACTGGTAGATAATCCACCATGCAGACCTACATGCACTTGTCAATCTGTGAAAACATTTCAGCTTAATCATGTTGTTTCCACAAGTTTCCTTGATGAAATGAGTAAGCCACTCAGCCCAGAAACTTCTGGCTATTTATCCAACAAGATCCATGGAGAATATGTTTCTAGCTTGACCACAGTTCCATGAAACTACAGATATGACCAAATTCTGTTAAATTACATCATTTTCAGTCCCAGCATACTACAGAGTTGGGATGGAAGACCTAGAGATTCCTACAGTGGTATTCTCCCTAGGAATTTGCTAGGTCCTCTAACACAAGCCTATGACAACTTCTTGGGGAAGGATACTATAGAATCACCAGGAAGATGTGGAAAATACCTACAGAAACTATTTACCTCCAAGGCACAAGCAAGTGAAACTGCAAATATGGATTTAGTGGTTACAGAGGGTTACAGAGGGTTTGCTGCATTGGCAGGAACAACTGGATGGATGGAAGAGTGGTATGCAAATCCAGTGCTGACCTTAGTCTCCAGCAATCAGTCCCTAAACCCATTTCCAGACTCTGCTAACTGATATAGATACTGGCAACCGTAGAAAATGAAGTGACACAATCATGCATGAGGCTGTCAAGTCATCTATGTTAATATTTTATGCACCTTGTATGTTGATTATTCTAGGCATTGATAAGACAGTGATCATCATTCCCTTTGTTCTTTCTGAGCCATCACTCATCCTTTCAGTATTTTGCAGTCTTTGGTGAATGCATTCCTCTGATATCTTCTTCACACACAAGAAGTCAGAAAAGACTATTGCAAGCAGAGGGCAAAGGTTGCACAACCTGCACACTGTAGAGCAGCCATATCAACTTCTGAATAAGCAACTGTGAGAATCAAAGAGTTGTGTTATCTCAGTATATTATCTACTATGTTCCAGTTCATTCTTATGAGCTGGGTTACTAAGATACATTTTGGCTCTTTGAAGCCTCCACTGCTGGAGACCTAACAAAGGATGACCTGACAGTGGTCTGTACAATCAGTTGCTAAATGATCCCAAGATACCAGGATAGATCCTAGGACTTTTGGTTTGCAAAATATGGGCTTGATCATGGAAACATTCCTCCTTCATACATACAAAACCCAGTTATTGAACAGGTGGAGAATTGTTTGCAACACTGCCTTTATGTTATGATCTACTATAGTAGATCTTTCAATGTAATGAGCACAATCTTCTGAATTTCCTATGCCCAAGTCCAAAAGCAATGAATTAAAGATGCATATGGCAGCACACTTACATGAGCTTGCATCCATAAGTGAGCAATTTTACTGTAAACCTTTATGCATGGGCTGAGACAGAATTCACACATATAGGCAAACACTGTAAAAAAAATCAAGTAAGCTGGATATGACAGCATTCAGACTTTGGTGACATGTCACTGTATTTTCTGCTTCTTTCCCTGAATTCTTTCCTCAGGCTCTACATATAACACCAAGGCCTACATTTCAAATACATAAGAAGAAGGCTTGTGACTAATTCAAATAATGTAGGTGTATGTTTGGATAAGAATACATATTCAAATGCATGAATATGGCAAATTAAAAATCACAGCTGAAACATTCAGTGCTCTTAAATTGTGGAACAAGTTTTAAAATTATGTGAGTTGGTTGAAAAACCAACATGTACAGGACCGCACCCCATTTCCCTGTCTCCTGGCACCCGAATCTCTAAGGCATTACTGTCATCAAATTTTCTGAGCTGATATTTGACAGCAAATCATTTCATGGGATGTGAACCTGTAGGCCTCACATACAAGTTATGCTAACACTGCTTGTGCACTGCTATACATCATCAGTAGATTATTCATCTCACAGCGGAGAAATACCTCTGTCACATTTGAACTTTAACAAGACCTGCTTTGGGTTCATTCAGTGACAGGAAAGAAGGAACAACACTTACAGCAGCACATGTTAAATGGCTTTAGAAATGAGAGGAAAGATTACTCTTAAAGAAACTCTGTAAAAGGTTACTCCTAAGTCACCAGTGGGGTGAGACATTTGTCTGAGAACCTCAGTGCTTACAGAAATTAATATCCTTATAGGAAACCTGTTTACACCACTGTACAGAAGTGAAACTATTATTTGTGTCCCCACTCTGAGAAGCTGACGTATCCTTAGAGTCAGATCTATCTGCACTGTGAACCAAGAGGTGAGTCTGGGCAAATATCTACCCAAAATGCTCCATTTGTCAAAGGAAAGAGCCTGCACTTAAAGAAAGCAGTCAGAAGTTTTGCCATTGATTTCAACCAGACCTAAAGGACATTGCTGAATAACTATTTAACTGTACTCTTCCGCTTAAAAAGCTTTGATGCTTCCTCCTTGCCAGAAGCTTTTCAGATCTACAGTATGCAATGTCATGCAGCTTTTACCTGACACTTAAAACCTTGGCCTTGATCCACAAACTGAAGCAAAGGATATGCACTTTTTCTTGCTGAGGGGACTGCAATTTGTCATAATACACCATGGGGAGGGGGTTCTTACCATTCCGCAGAAATTCTCTGGTGGATTTCCACAGGTTATGTTAGGTGGATCCAGATTTACTTTCACATATTTCATCATATCGATGGCTTCTGGCTGACAAGCTGTGTAATCCCAAATCTTCCCTTCATCTGTGTAAATTTGAGTCTTGCACACATCATAGTGTCCCCACACTGAAGGATAGTGTTGTATCACTGATGAGACAGTAACCCAAAGGGCATGGAGGGACAAGAATCTTGAGAAATACATCTCTAAAGCCTTGACAGATGTCTTGATAGCTATAACTGGCCAAGAGCTAAGTGCAGTCTATATTACACATATATGTACACAGGAGGCTGAATTAATTGTAAAATGTGTTCCAAACCAGAAGACAAGAAGAAGATTATGATGGCTGTTTTTTTTAATTTAAAGTTGGAAACTTTGGTGGAAGCCTAGAGTATTGAAGAGATGCCATTCAAATCAGAAGAACCATCTGTTGCCCTCAAATGTTTCAAGACTTCTTAGCGCACAGGTAAATGATGTCCAGAAGCAGACAATAACTCAGCAATGTTTCCAGTCCTCAGTGGCGTTGTCAGTAATCCTGAGCAATCCTCCCTCTACTCAACACATGAGGGATGACTGCACAAGTGATAAATCAGTTGGTGGAGCAAAACGATGAATGTCTATTGCCTCTCCGCCATCAATCATCCTTTCCTTCCGGCACTGGCATCCTTTTAGAAACAATAAAAATAAGAATTATTGTCCAGGAATCAATGCATTAGAAAATATATGATATGTTGGCATTTCAAGAGGTTTGATATAATGAAAGATAAATTGGAATAATCTGGATAACCTTTAGTGGAGGTGCATTGCTAGAATGAAGAAAGTAGCGGAATCACTCATTGCCAAAATTATTTTGACATGAATGATTTGACTCTTCTAACAAAGACATACAGAATGTTATCTCCATGTTCTGGGGTTTTCCCCTTCCTCCTGTTTGTCTACAAACAAACAGCCTTTCCATCTTGGCAAAACCCAAGAGAAAATGACAGCACTTAAAACAGTTCTCATATTTCATAACCAGATCAGGGATAGAAATCCCATTCCACCAACGGCAGAGGATCTTTTATTACCGTGACAAAGGACTGACAACAACTTGTGTGCTTTTCATCTTTTGCAAAGAAGACCTCAGAGAGCTCAAAATGTCTAGAACACGTCTAAGCTTTTGTTAGCTTAATAAGAGAGAGATTATGAGCATACTTCTGTCTTTTTGGATTTTTTTCTCATTAGTATTGGAAGAGCTCTGCTTCTTTTGTTTAATTGTGTTTAATGACAAAGACAACAGTTGATTCATTTGCAGCTTATAATAATAATTCCCCTCTATCTAGGCCTTTGGTATTATTATTATTATTATTATTATTATTATTATTATTATTATTATTATTATTATGTACTTTGATACATCAATTTTCTTAACAGAAACCATGCTCTCCACTCCCTCATCATACAGTGCAGAGGGCATAAAATACTGTGTTCCAAATTAAATGATTTTAAAATGAAATCTAGAAAATACTAACCAAATTTGCACAGTTCATTGACACATTTTCAAGTTATTTGTATCATAAAGATTGCTAACTGACAGCTTAGGGACTTGACCTAGCCCTGTAACCATTTTGAAAAAAATTACAGCATTATACATTATTTTAGTTAGTCAGTGATTCAAAGTGTCCCCACTATTTTCTTCATAAAGGCAAGGGGAAATAATTCACACCTGAGACATGTGAAAAGGGATCTTTTCCCCAACTGGGGCATAGACTCCTTCTTTGGAGGCTTTTAAACAGAGGCTGGATGGCCATCTGTCGAGAGTGCTTTGAATGTGATTTTCCTGCTTCTTGGCAGAGGGTTGGACTGGGTGGCTCATGAGGTCTCTTCCACCTCTATGATTTTATGATTCTATCTCGTCTGGATTTTGTATAGCATGTGTGTATCTATATAAAATGCTCAAAAAGTGTTGAAATCCTCAAAGTAGAAGATGCCAACAAAATGACAGATCCTGGTATTTTCTGAGCAGAAAAGATCCAACTTCTCTAATTCAATAGTGTCTGGAGAACAGTGTGGCCCCTGAACTTCGTTATAACTGGTCTAGGCTAGGACCATAGTAAAATAACACTCAAAGGCATTTATGCCTATTTTAGTAATGACAGTGCTTGCTCATCAAACTTTACCGAAAACACTTGCAGAATGAAAAATGTGACTCTAAAACCATGTTTAAATCATCTGGTTTTTTTAATGAATTAGCAACTACCACCACTAAGTCTTTTTTTCCTTTGCAAGTAAACATACGGAAGCACTTGTGCTGCTTCACAAACCTTCTTACCTTGCCTTGCTCATTTAAAGTCTGACCTTCTAAAAAGTTATATTATTATTATTTCCACAATGCTAGGCATATAAAAAGAACACAGCATTTTAGTGACTTTGGCAGGATTACAGTTCCTTCGAAAACACCCACTTTCAAGGAAAGAGAACCTTGTCTTCAAAGCAATTTTGTAAACAAGTTCCTTTTATTCAAATAAGGAATCATCTTGAAACTGAACTTCGCTACAGACACTATGCAGTGCCAACAGATGGCTGAATTGTGTTTCCATAGCAAATTACAATAATTGCCTTATGGATGCAAGTGCAATTTCCTATTATATTCATTTCATAAAATGGTATCGTACAGCTGTTACATGCAATGCATTGTATAAGAAAGCATGTTGGCTAGTTGAATTTGCTTTTAGCAATCAGCTGCACAACATGGGAACATCAAATTTAACTCTGTCCCAAAAACAGAAGCATTTCAAAACAAAATCTGAGGATCCTTTGTTTCAAATTACATCACATTGTCCGAGAGCTTTCTCTTCCTTTTACATTTTTTGTCTTCTCTAATCATCTCCAAATTGGTTTATGCCTTAATTCAGTAGGCATAGTACTGAATTCATTTCAAATCTAATGTCTTGAAGGCACATGTTTGAGGAAGATGTGAAATAATTTTTAAATTACTATAATTGAGAGGGAAATTTCAATTGAATAATAATAATATCATCATCATCTTTACTTGTACCCCACCACCTTCAATCCAAAGGGACTCAGGGCTTCTCACAGAAGCACTTCAAGCATGACATCAGGCAACAATACATAACTATAAATACAATTATATATGTATAATTAACAGTGCATAAAAATCTTATTAATAAAATTATAAAAATTGAAAATTATAAAATTCCTAAAACGCAATGGAACTGAAGAAATAATCCCATTGGAAATACCATTTGAAAAATAAATCACATTTATATAAAACCAAAAATATATATTTAATGCAGATATGAAAGAATGGCCTGAATCAATTAATAACAGCCATGTTAGTGCAAAGTATGACAGAGGAAATAAATATATTTGTAGAATACCTTTATTCCTAAAGGAATACGTATTCAAACAGCCTATACCTAATAAGACACTTGGGAGATGCCTTTTCTCCCCTCCCTCCCTCATATCTCCTGTCCATACTTTCATTCTTTCCACCACAATATCAACAGATACAAGCTGCTATGAACAATGCAGAAGAGTAAGAGACTAAATGTCATACTAGTAGCTCCCTCTCTTCACTGGGCTATAGCATTTCTCCTGTATAATGAATTCTCATTAAAGCAAGTTTGAGTCATAATAATGGTCATTACCTAGAATTATAGACTATCACATTGATTGAATTCAGTATGCTGGGAAGGGGAAAGTGGTGACAATCACGCAGGTGATTTAAGCATCAGGCAGATGCCAGAACATGCGACTGGCATGCTTGACAAGAAGCGGCCAATTATAGCTTAAATTTCTGGCACCTGTCCAGTATGTGATTAATAGTTTTCCATTACATTTCAGTCATATTATTAATGTATTAAAAATGTCATGCTTTGGCAAGAGCTAACGCAGCATAGCTTAGCTAGTTGGCAGTATCTCATTATTAATGATTTCTCATTGACACAGGGGATGGTATTGACTAAAGATCGCACGCTAAGGGTCGCAGGGTTTTGGTAATGGCTCCATGTGACCCATGTTGTGTTTGTGGAGGAAGTGGGGATGAACTTTCCCCACAAAAATCCAGATTTGACTGCTCCAAGAAGAAATGAAGCAATCTTTTTTAAAATGTAGACAAAACTAAAAATTATATTTTTATTGGTATTTGCTCCAATGCAGGAAGTGTTAATAAATGACACATGCCTGAGGTTTTTTTTTTAATCCTCTCTGACTTTTTAACCTCTGCTAACCATCTGATCATGCAATCTGCTGTGTTAACTTGAATTGATCCATAGAATCTCACATGCAGAAACTGATGTCTTTACTGATGAAGGGAAAGGTGACTCCAACCCGCTGAGGGTGAGGGAAAGGAATAGATTATGCTAACTATATTCAATAGAGCTGTGGCACATGGCAAGCCAAAGCTCTGCTTTGTTACCGATAGCTCATTACTCCGAAGGTGTTTTGACCCTTGCATTGTCCACATGTGCCCTATCCTACACAATCTGTAAAACAGAAGCAAAACACTAACAACCTGGAGGCATTCCCCCTCTAGAGAACTCAAGAAAACACAGGGAGATGGCAAACATTTTTGCTGGGATTCCTTTACGGAGCTTGGAGAAATTCAGTCCAATTTGTAAAGCACAGGTCACAGAATTTATACCCAAGCACATCACCATCCATCCACTTTGGTTCAGTACTTTTAAAAATCAAAACAAAAACACCCCAAAACTTGTTATATAAATATATTCATGGCAAGCAATTCCTTTTTAGTGATATACAATGACTGCCGCCCAACCTCACATGCTGCCTTCATTATGTATAGCAAATCTGATACCCCAAAAGTGTATCCTGGCTTTAATTAATTATGATAAAAGACAACTGCCAATGCTGATTAGCATTTGCTGGCAAATGCAGTGCCTTGTAATGGGTTTGATCACTATGAATAGCTCTCTGCCCCCCTCCCACATTCAGAGTGATCATTTTCTCATTATTATTTAAAAAAAAAACAAAAACCTGTCACCAAGAAGCGGATGGCATATCTGTCAGGAGAATTTTCCAGATGAGAACTGCATCATACAGACCTAAATTTTAAAAATAAAAACAAAACATAAAGTCCCAAATACAAATTTTGGGCAGATTTAATTGAAAATAGGCTCCAGTGTCACATATGTGTGCTTAGAACTGCAAGGCTTTTGTTACATCTGAGGGAATTTCATCTTTTGCCTTAGTCCGTTAACATATTTGCTTGACAGATAGATAGACAGACAGAGAGATGGAAACACACATACAGACACACAGGATAACATGAAAACCCATAAAATTGAGTAGGCGATTAGAAATTTCAGAAATGAATTTTATCCTATCCTATACAAATTCTTTTTAAACCCTTCTTGACAGCTTAGTTTTGTGCTTTTAAAAGGCTCAAATAAGACTATTATAAATACAACCCAGAATGGGTATGTTAAGAGCTCTATTCTCCACATCCCCCATGACTCTAGGAACTGGATTTGCAAACATATACAACAGCGCTTGAAAAAATGCGCTCGTTTTCGCCAGTTAAATGGGAGTGCATCTATAATAGGCTTTCTATTTTATTGTCTTGGAGGTAGATCAAAGGTGGTAAATGCCAATTTCCCGCTGTGCCCCACCATGCCAGAAACCTGATATATGGGAAATGGCTGCATTTAAAACCAACCTATTGCTTTTTATAAATGTTAAATTACTTTGCTGAACAAGCAAAAATTGGACCATTTGAATAATAGGGTATGTGCTTTACGTCCCAGATTTGAAAAGTGGTAATATCCATTGAAGAGAGGAGGAAACTAAACTACAAAAAAAGATTTTGGTGGTTAAGTACCAATTGTAAAAAAAAATGCTAATAAAGAGAACGAAGTTTTTTAATTTACCTATGGAAAAAAATGCTGATAGCTTCCTTTCAAGAGGGTGCAAGAGAGTGAAATTTGAACTTGTAGTAAGAGAGAGAGGCAGTTAACTTTTATTTTGGAAAATAAGCCAATTTAAGGCCACAGTAGGCTGTTTCATGCCTCTCCTTCCTACAGCATTTTACGGGAAGCATTCCAACTCATATCACATTGTCAGAATTCATGTGATATCATGTGCTTTCATTTGAAAGCCAATATTATGTATAACTGTTGGAAGCACATACTACAATAATTCGCTTTAAACTGAAAGAACATCTCTCTTTCTTTAAATAGCTTGCATAGGACTTAATTTATGTTGCAATGGGTGCAGCATTCAGATCTCAATCAGACGCTCGTGGAAAAGACTGATACCTGCACAATACAAGGAAAGTTGTTGGAAGGGAATCACAGTCTTAGGCAGCATTCCTTTGCATGGTGGTACACTGTTGAAAACCCATTCTGGACCGCAACCTTACTCATAAGGAAGTCTCTGCACAAGATTATTTCCTAGGTTACTCCTTTACATATCTGTGCATTCTGCTTGTTAAATATCTACCCTTGTTTTTGTTAAACAATTTCTGCTCTTGATTCAAAGACACTCCTGGGAGGTATGAAAGTGGGACTATTAGCTAAAGAATTAATATTATTTTTAATCACACCACTGGTAAATATTTTTTGGTCAGATTCAAAAAATTCCTTTGCAGACTCACCTTCCTTGTTAGGATAACTGAGTGACGGAAAACTCAGCTTCGTCAGGAGAAACATGGACTATATTTATCTAATACCTTAAAAGGCATTGTGCAATGTCTTCGTAAAAAAGCCATCTATCTATGTATTTATTCAAAAGTATGCTAAGACTGAATTGAAGAGGACTTACTCCCCGGGAAATGAGTATAGCATTGCACACTGAATTTCCCTTCTCAAACATATCTAAGAATTAAGCCAGCAAAGCCATATCTGTTGCCTGCCAAAAATCCGCATCTCATATTTATGCATTCTCCTATTTTTGTATATTTGAAAAGCGGATAGCTGACAAAGAAAGAATGAAAGGGAAAAGAGGGAAGGAGAGATTAACATGAAGAGACTAGTAAAGCCAACGTTTACTAGCCAGGACCGTTTGCTTTAATACATATTCAAAGTTTAAAGCTGTATGTATTGATTCCAGTTTTTCTTCGTGATTCGACCATTCCCTGCTGTTTCTGTTTTGAGGAAGAGTTGAGTGTGTGAACTCATTTTTCACCAGCATCTCCAACCATATGAGAGAAACCGCCTGCTATTTCAGAACTAAACAAAGGAAATGTTTGAGCCGGAGTAACACTAGTCTTCCCTTGCTATAGTTTGTAGTCCATTTCCCAGCATACAAAAAATATGTAACAACAATATTTATTATGGTCCATACACACATCAGTAAACCAACAGTCATTATCTTGTATAATGAACCGGGAGAATTTATTTTAAAACCTATTTTTAAAATCTCTATGGGGAAATCTGGCTGGATTTGAAAAGAAAGGCACACTTTTCATAGCAGTTCCAGCTCAGTTCCACTCAGCTTCCTCAGTCTGTTCTTTGCTCAGCCAACATGTTGTCTTTCCTTACTGCCTGTCAATCTAGTTAACATTTTTCATTACAAAAAATATGTAAAAGTTGAGTCGAATCCTTTTAAAAAAAACTATTGATACAAGTGATGTTTCTCCCTTCTTTCACTATAGTGCTATCGATCCTATGACTTAAGTGCTAAGCTATTCGGGGGCTTTATCTCAGTAGGAAGAGAAAGTCTGAATGTTTCCATATGATTGAATCAGATGCTTCTGAGGGCCCTTCCACACAGCCATATAACTCAGAATATCAAGGCAGATAATCCACAATATCTGCTTTGAACTGGGTTATCTGAGGGCCCTTCCACACTGCCATATAACCCAGAATATCAAGACAGAATATCCCACAGTATCTACTTTGAACTGGGTTATGAGTCCACACTGCGATATATTCCAGTTCAGAGAATTTATTCAGCTGTGTGGAAACAGTGGCTTCAACTCAGGCCCCTTCCACACAGCTGTATAAGGGCTCTTCCACACAGCCCTATATCCCAGAATATCAAGGCAGGAAATCCCACAGTGTGGACTCAGATAACCCAGCTCAAAGCAGATATTGTGGGATTTTCTGCCTTGATATTCTGGGATATGGGGCTGTGTGGAAGGGCCCTGAGTCCACACTGCCATATAACCCCTTCCACACAGCTGATTAAAATCCCACATATATCTGCTTTGAACTGGAATATATGGCAGTGTGGATTCAGTTCAAAGCAGACAATGTAGGATTTTAGGCCCCTTCCACACAGCTGGATAAAATCCCACATATATCTGCTTTGAACTGGAATATGGCAGTGTGGGTTCAGATAAACTGGTTCAAAGTAGATATTGTGGGATTTTCTGCCTTGATATTCTGGGTTATACAGCTGTGTGGAAGAGCACTTACACAGCTGTGTGGAAGGGGCCTGAGTTGAAGCCACTCCACGTGGAGAACTGCTCATCCGTGTGAATTACATCCAAACTTCAGCTACACTGTCTTAAAATAAAAGATGCCTGGCTGTCCCTTTTATAAAAACGTATCTTCAGTGTTGTTTATAATGCCTGGACCATTCCCAGTTGCTAATAAAAAAGCCAGACTTTTAATTTAAAATCCTCTTTTCTCCTCTTTTTGCCTTGCCACACTGGGACGGTAGAGGGCGCAGTGTCTATTTGTATGGAAGTTTGGTCTCTTTCCTCCCCCGTTTTGGGAATGTCTTAATTGCTTCAAGGTGGAGGGTGGGAGGCAGAGGAGCCAATCAAACCACTATTTACTTCAAGCCTGAAAAATGTTTGGGGGGGGGGGTTGTCCCTCTCCAAAAAGGCTGCAAATAAAGTAGAGTTGCGATCCCAAAGGATTCAGACGAAGGCAGTTTGAGCCCTTTTCCACACAGTTGCATAAAATCCACACTGAAATGGATTATCTACCAGTGTGGACTCATATAATCCAGTTCAAAACAGATATTGAGGATTATCTGTCTTCATATTCTGAGTTATATGGCAGTATGGAAGGGCCCTCGGAGACTGAGGCTCCTTCCACACAGATGTACGAAATCTACCTTGAGTTGGATTATCTGGCAGTGTAGACTCAGCTAATCCAGTTCAATACATATATTGGATTATCTGCCTTGATATTGTAGATTATATGGTTGTGTGGAAGGGCCCTGGGAGACAGGGGCCCCTTCCACACAGCTGTACAAAATCTACATTGAACTGAATCATCTGACAGTGCAGACTCAGATAATCCAGTTCAATGCAGATATTGGATGATTGCTTTAATATTCTGGGTTATATGGCCGTGTGGAAGGGTCCTGAGAGCTAGAATTGGGAGCGGATCCCTTCCCAGGGCCCTTCCACGCAGCCCTCTAGCCCAGAATATCAAAGCAGAAAATCCCACAATATCTGATTTGAACTGGATTATCTGAGTCCACACTCAGATAAAGTGGGATTTCTTGCCTTGATATTCTGGGATATAGGGCTGTGTGGAAGGGCCCCCAGAAACTCTGGGATTTCAAAGCAGATAACCCTTTTCAAAGCAGATACTGTGGGATTTCCTGCCTTGGTATTCTGGGATATAAGGCTGTGTGGAAGGGCCCCCAGATAACCCGAATCAAAGTAGATATTGTGGGATTTCCTGCCTTGATATTCTGGGATACAGGACTGTGTGGAAGGGCCCCTAGATAACCCGGATCAAAGCAGATACTGTGAGATTTCCTGTCTTGATATTCCGGGATATAGGACTGTGTGGAAGGACTTCCAAATAACCCGGTTCAAGGCAGATAATGTGAGATTTTCTGCCTTGATATGCTGGGATATAGGACTGTGTGGAAGGACCCCCAGATAACCCGGATCAAAGCAGATAATGTGGGATTTCCTGCCTTGATATGCTGGAATATAGGGTTGTGTGGAAGGGCCACCAAATAACCCTTTTCAAAGCAGATAATGTGGGACTTTCTGCCTTGATATTCTGGGATTTGGGGCTGTGTGGAAGGGTGCCCAGATAACCCGGATCAAAGCAGATACTGTAGGATTTTTTATGCCTTGATATGTTGGGATATATGGCTGTGTGGAAGGGCCCTCGGATATTTTGGGATTTTCTAACTTGGTATTCTGGGATATAGGGCTGTGTGGAAGGGCGAAAGTTTCCCCAAAGGAAGTCCGACTGGGATTCCGATGGAGCAGGGATTGGGGAAAGCGGGAGGGAGGGAAGCAAGGAAGGCAAAAGTGTGGGGAAAGTTTCCTGCCCTTCCCCTCCAGGGAAAGGCAGCAGCGTAGCCCTCTACTCACCGAGGAAGGGGTCGGGGGCGCTCCTTGGAGCCAGTTTGGGGTGCTGCTCCAAAGTTGTGCCTGGCGTCAATCACCAAGCGAGGCGATCCCGGGCGGGAGAGAGGCGGCAAGGAACGGGATGGAGCGGGAGCAGGAGGAGTGGTGGTGGCGGTGCCAGGAAGCGGCTCCTCCCGCCTTGCGCTCTCCTCTGGCTGTGCCTCCGGGCGCCCGGCGGATGAGCCCCTCCTCTGGCTCTGCCCCTTTGGAGCCCGGCTTGGGGCCAAGAGAGACGGACGGGGCGGGAAGCCCGCGCCGCCTTCGCCCAGGCAACTTTCCCCGGCTGCTTCTCCCAGCGTGCCGTCGGGTCCCCTTGGCCAGCTTGCATGTTATTTCCCCTTCGGCCGGCGTCGGAGGCGCTGCGAAGGGACGCCCCTCATCCTCACCGCGAGGAGCCTCCGCCGCGGCGCCGCCTCGGGACTCCCAGCCGCCGCGCAAGGCTCCAGGTTGAGCGAGCCCTCCCTGCCCATAAGCGCCCGCGATCGGGGGAAACGTCCGTCGGAGGCGATGCGCAACCCTCCTCCTCCTCCTCGCCCCCCCCTTCCCTCCCTCCCTCCTTCCTCCCCCACTTGGCCCCTACTGCTGCCCTTCTCCGTCTTCCAGGCACAATCTCCTTTGTCTCTCGCCCATCCCGTGGCGGCAAACTTCAGTCAAGGAGGCAAAAAGCGGCGGCTCCAGCGCAGACGTGTCCTTCCCAAGCCATCTTCTCCGGCAACTGCCGGCGAGTAGGGAAGAAGGCAAACCTTATACCACCTCCAGTCCTTAGCGCGCCGAGCGGTCCTAAAGCCGGCGCTTCTCCTTCGTCTTTTTTGGAAGGCGCTGCGCTGGAGGAGCCCGAAAAGAAGCCAGAGCGCAGTCGCCTTTAAGGAGCAGCCAACCTGGGCCGCGGACTGGACCCAAGGGCGGCTTGGTGGTGGTTCATAGAGTCATAGGATAGGAGAATTGGAAGAGTCTAGAGATGACACCAAATTGGGAGGGAGAGCCAATACTCCCGAAGACAGGAGGAGAATTCAAAACGATCTGAATAGATTAGAAAGATGATTGGGCAAAACTAACAACATGAAGTTCAACAGGGACAAATGCAAGAAACTCCACTTAGGCAGAAAAAAAATGAAATGCAAAGATACATAATGGGGGACGATGCCTGGCTCCAGAGCAGTCCTTGGAGTCTTCCTGGACAACAAGTTAAAGATGAGCCAACAATGTGATGCAGCAAAAAAAAAAAAGCCAATGGGATTTTGGCCTGCATCAATAGGAGTCTAGTGTCTAGATCCAGGAAAGTCATGCTCCCTCTCTATTCTGCCTTGGTTACACCACATCTGGAATATTGTGTCCAATTCTGGGCACCACAATTGACAAACTGGAATGTGTCCAGAGGAGGATGACCAAGGGTCTGGAGAACAAGCCCTATGAGGAGCGGCTTAAAGACCTGGCATGTTTAGCCTGCAGAAGAGAAGGCTGAGAGGAGTCATGTATAAATTTGTGAGGGGAAGTCATAGGGAGGAGGGAGCAAGCTTGGTTTCTGCTGCCCTGGAGACTAGGACAGGGCCTTCTCAGTGGTGGCCCCTCAGCTGTGGAACACCCTTCCTACAAATATCAGACCGGCCCCCTCCCTGTTGGCATTCCGGAGGAGAGTGAAGACCTGGCTGTTCAAACAGGCATTCAACTAGGCAGTGTAATTGATTATTGGAACACAGAATAATGGATAATGAGACTGGATTCTGATTCTATTGATGAGACGTGATGGATTTGTTATATTGATATATTGATGGTTGGCCATCTCCGGCTATTAATTAAGTTATTAATTGTTATGCTACTGTTTTTAAATGTCCAATGAGTTTGTACTGTGTATACTGGAACTGTTGTTGTTAACCGCTCTGAGTCGCCTAAGGGCTGAGAAGAGCGGTATACAAATGAAGTAAATAAATAATAATAATAAATAGGGCGTGGAACAATGGCTTCAAACTATAAGAAAGGAGATTCCACCTGAACATTAGGAAGAACTTCCTGACTATGAGAGCCATTCAGCAGTGGGACTCTCTGCCTCGGAATGTGGTGGAGGCTCCTTCTTTGGAAGCTCTTAAACAGAGGCTGGATGGCCATCTGTTGGGAGTACTTTGAATGCAATTTTCCTGCTTCTTGGCAGGAGGTTGGACTGGATGGTCCATGAGGTCTCTTCCAACTTTATGATTCTATGATTCTATGATCAAGTCCAGGCATGGGCAAACCTCAGCCGTCCAGGTGTTTTGGATGACATGAGAGAAGTCTCCCCACAGGATTGCAAGACATCCAGACATCCCTGGTCAAAGTAGTCCCTGGTCAAGTGGTCCCTGGTCAAGTGGTCCCTGGTCAAGTGGTCCCTGGTCAAAGTAGTCCCTGGTCAAGTGGTCCTTGGTCAAAGTAGTCCCTGGTCAAAGTGGTCCCTGGTCAAAGTGGTCCCTGGTCAAGTGGTCCCTGGTCAAAGTAATCCCTGGTCAAAGTGGTCACTGGTCAAAATGGTCCCTGGTCAAAATGGTCCCTGGTCAAAACGGTCCCTGGTCAAAACGGTCCCTGACCACAGTGGTCCCTGGTCAAATGGTCCTTGGTCAAGTGGTCCCTGGTCAAAGTGGTCCCTGGTCAAAGTGGTCCCTGGTCAAAGTGGTCCCTGGTCAAATGGTCCCTGGTCAAATGGTCTCTGGTCAAGTAGTCCCTGGTCAAGTAGTCCCTGGTCAAAGTGGTCCCTGGTCAAGTGGTCCCTGGTCAAGTGGTCCCTGGTCAAGTGGTCCCTGGTCAAAGTAGTCTCTGGTCAAAATGATCTCTGGTCAAAGTGATCACTGGTCAAAATGGTCCCTGGCCAAATGGTCCTTGACCAAAGTGTTCCCTGGTCAAAGTGTTCCCTGGTCAAGTGGTCCCAGGTCAAGTGGTCACTGGTAAAAAAAAGGTTGTGATGCCCTTCATTATAATGGCAGCTCCAACCAAAGCACATGTACAAGTTTGAAAAAAAGTCATTTAGCATACATGAAAATCTTGCCATAGAGTTGCCATAAGTTCGGAATGACTTAGAGGCATACATAAACTAAGTCTGCAAAATACTTTTTTGTGGTTATATCTAACTATAGGGATATTATTTCAAACAACAAATGCTAAAGCACTGCACTAATTGCAGGCTGTCATTTTGGTGTCATGCCCTTTGAAGGTGTTCAACCAGTGCAGTCTGAACACACACACTCCACACCCAAAGTGACACCAATGGCCTGCCCTCCATTATTACTCCCTGGCTGGTCTGTCAATCAGCCTGATTTATTATATTTATCTTAGTGAATGAATACCCCATCTTTCATTGAATTGGGCAACAACAACAGTTTTTTTAAAAAAAACCATCACTTAAAGTGTTGACATTTAAAACATAGTTGGCAATTAAACAAATTTTAAAAATTACATTTCCAATGTCCTGAAATGAAGACATGTGACAATGCTGGCTGGCTGTGGAATGGATGCTATAGCGATTCTCCAGGGACTCTGCCCAAGTCATTTCTTTCCCACTCTCACCAAGGACCATGCCTAGTCTTGACATACAGCTTCAGACCTTCTAGGTTCCTTGGTTATTACACAGTGTTTAAGGTGAAGAATCAGTCCATAGCTTACTTTTACATTTCTATTATCTCTAGTAAAGGTTAAGCATCCTTTATCTGGAAGTACTCCAAAATTGTCCACAAGGATGGCTGAAAAGGTGGCACCTTTGCTTTCTCATGATTCAGTGCACACACATTTTGTTACATATACAAAATGTTACAAATATTGTGTCTAAAATTGCCTTCAAGCTATATATATAAGGCATATGTGAAAAATGAATGAATTTCATGTTCAGACTTAGGTCTCATTTCCAAGATATCTCATTATGTGCAAATACAGGTATTCTAAAAACTAGGGGAAAAAAATCCAAAATACTTCTGATCCCAAGCATTTCAGATAAGGGATACCCAACCTGTAGTTACAATTATTTTAGTGATCCTAAATAGGATATTATGCAAGTCTCCATTGAACTGAATAGGAACATTAATTATCTTTTTTGGTGAAAGCTATAGACCTGTTCTTGTCCCTTCCCAGATCAAAAAAGTTGTACTTTAATAAAGAGGGAAACAATCCTTTCCTTTTCATACAGGAAACCAATCTACCAATCCACTTTCATTATATGTGGTGGTTGTGTAAAAGGATCTAGCAATACTGAAATACATATGATTTCAGAAGAAATTGTTGAAATTAAATTTGAAATGAAACCCAAACTCTAACTGCTTGGGATGTTGAATGATCAACTCGATAGAAACTGTGAAAGGTTACTGCTATACATGAGAATGGCAGCAAGAATTATCTATGATCAAAGATCGAAAAACTCAACGATTCTGACACAAGATGATTTGCTTATTAAAATAAGTGGACTTGTGGAAATGGATAAATGTACTATGTTAATTAAGGTAAGATCTCTAATTAACTTTAAGAAATACTGTGACCCGTTTGTTGTGTTCCTCCAGCAAAGGTGGGGATCAAACCTCCATCACTCATATTTTGGATTAGAAGTGCTACTATGTGGTGAAAGGATGTATCAATGCTCACCACATCAGGTTGGTCCTGGGATAGAAACAGGCTCCATGACATGAACACAGAAAAAAAATAGCTCCTGGGCTTATGGTGTCCTTTGGAATCTGCTGCTTATGCTGGTTGACTAAATCTGCCTCACCGGTCTTGGTTTTATATGGCATGACATGCTTTTCAAAGCGACACTCTGCTTTATAATAGTCTTGTTTTTACCTGTCTATAGAAGTAGTCTGTGAAGCCCATAATTAATTGGGCACAAGTTTTAAAGTCTCAATAGATCCACTGGAGGAGACTTAAACACAAGCATAGCTCTTTCAGAGAAATCAAAGACATGTCAAAATGTTTCACTGTGCTTCTGTCATGCCATATGCTCCCATCACTACTAATCACTTTAGCTGAGCCAATAGACCTCTAAGCCACCATAACGATGGACATAATAATAACAACAACAACAATATAATTATTATTATATTATATTATATAATAATAATAATAATAATAATAATCTACATCACAATAATAACAATAATATACATCATACAGTCCTAGACGCTTGGGAAGTGTTCGACTTGTGATTTTTTGATATGAAATCCAGCATATAGATCTCATTTGCTGTGATATACTGTGCTTTTGTGTCAGAATAATAATAATAATAATAATAATAATAATAATAATAATAATAATAAGCTTTATATCCACTCCCTCTCCCTGCAGGGACTTGTGGCAGCTTAAAACAAACAAATACAATAAATTATATAACATAGACAATAATCACATCTCAATTAATAAAAACAAAATAGTTTATGTTTATGTTTACCATAATGTAAACATAAAGAAACAAACAAATTAAAAGACTATAAGGCCCTTGAAAAGCAGTATATAATGCCATTTAAAACCAATTGTTCCTATGATCAGATTATCCAGGATATAAATTATAGTTCTAATAACCATTGTGAATTTAG